TGTTAATATCTCTGTTGGTGTGCGGTGGTTTAACTTTTTAAAGGTGGTATTTTTAGTTCACATTCAGCTGGAACAAAAGTATTTCACAATCTGAATCCCCCTACCTGGGAGGCAGTGGCAAGAGTAGCTGATTTCAGAGTTCTGGTGGCAGGTGCCGCCATTAAGGCATGGTGAGGGTGAGCAAGGGATGTACGAGCTTTCACAGTGTCTGCCCGTAAACCCTGGGTCACAGGTACACCTGTAAGGACAGAGTACATTTCATTTAACTCAGTCGTATTTCCAGATGGTGGCATATTTCACATTTGATTATTACAAACTAGATTCTCACTTGTAGGAGCCAGGGGTGTTGACGCATAAGCCTTCGTTCTGGCATATAGAGGGCGTGGCAGCGCATTCATTCGTGTCATTCAGGCAGCGAGGACCTGTGTAGCCAGGAGGACAGGAGCACGTGTAGCTGCCGGCAGATGGAGAGCTGCACGTCCCACCGTTGACACAGGGGCTAGAAAGACAGCTGTCCTCATGCTCACACTGCGGTCCTGGGAGTGAAGAGGAAGGAGAAGAGCAGAGCATTAGTGCTTCAGCTGTCAATGTGTCCTCCACCTCTGGAAAATGACGGCTCAGATAATAGAGGACAGCAATATGCAATGACGGATATATTTTTGTGGTTATCTGAAAGACTTGATATCGCATGTTGTATTTTATCCAATGATACTTGCAGTACAAGTAAAATACTTTTTAATCACCTTCTGGATCCATTAATGCATCAAGAGATAATCATGGGATGCCAGATTTGTTTTCACTTCATCAGTACAGTGAGAGAAAATTGCTTAAAGATTTTTCAGCATCATTAAGAAGTTAATGTTGACTGCACAATGTAATGGCTATAGAATAACGGCAGCATCTGTATTTAGACGGGTTCCCTATAAGCTTGCCGCAAGTCGTTTCTAATAATTATAATGACATGTCGCCTAATCCAGCAGGAATGTTGCAACACGTGTCCTGTATTGTTGCTAGCTGCTGGGCCCCACATCTGGATTCACACCAAGAAGCGACTTGTTCCTTGCTTTAAGGCTTAATTTTTACTTTTGCTGTATATGTTATGAGGATATAAGGTATAGCAGTCTTTACAGCTAGCAAGTGTGAACAAAAGTCAGACATCACTGCCCTACTGGCAAACTCCTGAGAGGTGATTAAACAGCATCTCACCTGTCCATCCTCTGGGACACTCGCACTTGTATTTGTCGAGGGACAGCAGGGCGCAGACACCCTTGTTGGCACAGGGGTTGTTGGGGTAACACGTGGAGTTCTGGGGAGTTTGGCAGTGCTGTCCGGTGTAGCCAAGAGCGCAGGTGCAGGCTGCGCTGCCTGGCACGGGTACGCCCGCTAACATGGACACAGAGCAGTTCCCTCCATTCAGGCAGAAGCCCGGGTCACAAGGGTCCTTGTGGTGGCAGTACTCACCCAGGAAGCCTGGTGCACACCTAAACACACACACACACACACACAGAAATCAATGATGGAGCACGCAGAGGCACACACAAGGATTTAAACCGAATCACCCCTCAATACAGACACTACAGCTGAAACATGAATTAAACAATTGTGTGTGTTTGACAGAGACGTAAAGAAACAAAACAAAAGCTTGACTTTCAGTTAGGTGCACACACTGCACCACATCAGACAGCAGCATTGATACCAGAGCGTAGCGTCTGCACTGGAGTCCTGCAGTACACACAGATCAAAGGAAAGAAATGAACCAGCAGAGGTAAACACTGGTGTCTAATGCAGTCTATACTGTGATGTAAGCAACAGTATGTGGGGACCCACATCCCTGAGCAGGAGTACAAGCAAAATGTGTGGTTGTGCATTGTTCAGTTACTATTAAAGGGTTAATGGACTGCATTTATGTTTTGCTTTTAAAAGAAATATGAAGTATTTACAGTGCAAGGTACACACACACACACACACACACACACACACACGCCATGAGCTGCTTGACAGAAGAAGTTGGAGCATTGTGTCTAGCTGCAGGCCATTTTGAAATGCTGTTAAGATGTGAATCGTTAACCCTATGATTATGATTACTGATATGAGATACTCAGAGCCCTGAGCTGTTGCCCCACAAACCCCGGTCAGAGAAAAGGGGGAAGCTGCGCTTGGTGAAAGGGTCGGGGGTTGCACTGCAGACGTGCTGATACAGGGACGGAGACAGGAAAGAGTGAGGGTGGCCATGTCTAATCTGACAGAGTGGAAGTGAAGAGGCATGAAGTCCGTCTCTTCTTTGAAGATCCTGCGTCACTAACCTGCCAACTTGTTTATCTGTTTACCAGCACCATGAGTACATGCACATGGCAGAGTTATAGAGAATATGTTCGGGAGACAAAATATACATTTAGAATATTATACTATGTTGTGTTACTGTAAAACATTCCATGAAATCAGACAAAAACCAACAATGAGTTAGGGCCTTGTCAGACAGAACGGCCCCAATAATAAAGAGCTTTTTTTTTTTTTTTTTTTTTTATCATTTTTGGTCTATGGAATAAGAACTAAACTAAACTTGAAAATAGTAAAAGAGTTTTCTGTCATATCTAGTTTAAACAAATAGAAAACTCTCAAAACATATTGCTCCACATTATGGTGTTGATTCCATTCTTTTGGGGTTGGTTTGTGTACACGTCAGTGCATTTGATATACTGTAGCCTAATGTGTGTTTGTTGTCAGCTTGTTGTTTGTGGTGTTTGAGGAGACATTGGCTGACTCACACATCATACCGAGTAGTATCCTCACAGATGTGATTGATCGCTGAGTCGACTTCCCCCCTCTTTCCCATGCGCTCATCACCTAATATCTTCAGGCTGCTTAGGGGCGGAGTGGCCCATAATGAATAAAAGTTAATAAGCGTGAGACTGGATTTCAGATAATTCCCACCTCCGATGTTTCGTCTCTGTTTTATATGGCTCATAACACCGATCTCTGATACTTCTGATACCCTTTATGTTTACACTCTAGAGGTGCGGTTATTTGTGGAAAAAAAAGAAGCATATTTATCCATTTGGAAAGGTTATGAAAGAAGGTATTAATTTCTCTGTGCCTGCGTATGTGTGTGTTAGTTACTCTGTGGTGTATCTCCGCTATTATGTTACCTGAGCCCCTCTAGGGAGGCCGGTTTAGAGGCCCGTGTAAGAGGCAGCCGGCCGCTCCGTCGCTCACGGTCCCTAGACAGCGTGTCAGCCATGTGCCAAACAATGCAACAGACGGCTGATCAAAATAGCATTACATAGGAAATTACCTGACTAACAACGTATTTTTTGCTCAGTAACAAAATAACACCCCTGACCAAATGGCGTCGCACACACACACAGAGGAGAAGTGGTGTGTGAAAGTGGGAGGGACTGAGAACAAACAGAGGAATAGAAAGTGACAAAAGGAATCTCTGTTTTTGACGATGTCCTCGTGGACATTGTGTAATATTGTAATATCCTCTCCGCTGCTCGACGTGTCGCTGAATCGCTGAGAAGAAGAAAGAGAAATGGAAAGACAGGGGCTGATGAATAAGCGGAGGAAAAAACCAAATGTGGTCACAACACGATAGAGTGCTGCTTTTCTTTTAGTCGTACACCATACAGCTTGTCGTGAACAACTTGCAAATGTCTTTACCTTTACTGTGGACACATTTCTGTAGACATTATGACATTACTTATCTGTTGCCATGGACATGGTTCATCTTCTACATTGCCCACAGACGTGCTGGTGCTTTCCACTAGCTTTAGTTTGCTGCCAGTCAACAACTTCCAGATAACTCCACCTCACATCCTTCTACTTTCTGACTTCTTCTTTTCCAGCACTGACACACATGCCAATACACACACACACACACACACACACACACGCGCGCGCACATAAATACACAAACACAGAGACGTCCCTCCCCACTCCGAAGGCAAACACAGCTTGGTCATGATATCACAACAAGACGGCCGTCGTGGGAATTAGGACTGCTTTCTTCTCCTCCACCCCCTCTCAGGGAGGAATGACATGGCCTTCTGCCCTGGGACATACATCACATTAGCACACTGTCATGTGATGAACACCGTGTCCAGGTTAATACCAGGTTTACGTTTCACTGGGATCATTTCACACATTTTTCACTGTTTCAAACTATGGGGAATACGAGGGGTATCTTCAACAAAGTCAAGGAGAGAGAGAGAGAGAGAGAGAGAGAGAGAGAGAGAGAGGGAGGGAGAGAGAGATTGGTGGTCATGCAACTCTACACCACCCTACAAGAATTATTTGCAGCTTTGAGAATTTTTTGAGAAAATTCCAAAGCGCTGACAGAAAAGATGCGCAGCAATCTCTATTAAATTCAATCGCTGCTATCCAACCGGTGTTGACAGAACCAAATGCCATGGCGTCAGGAAGTGATACCACCCCGTCCTTCAGGTTTAACTCCCAGATAGAGCGCTCATTCTAAGCCTCCGGCTGTATCGCTATAGAGCCGGAGGCCAGCAGACAAGGCTGAGCACGATTCACATTATTGTGAGGGAGTGGTGTGTCTCACTGCTGAGGAGATAAACACAATGGCACACTAGTCTGTCGCTGAACGCAACACGGGGGTGTAAGTGTGATTCTTCAGACACGCTTTCATCCACTCTAACAGAACAAGGGCAAGAAGTTGCACACGGATAAATGCGCCGCTCTACTTTCACGAAAAGAAAGGGGAGCGGAGAGGGTTTTCTGCAGCCAAAGTCATCTATGGGATTCTTTGTTTTGCTCCATGAGGGCTTTTTTTTCCTCCTCTTTTCCCCATCCTTCTCTTACTCCGTGCAATTTCCTGCAGCCCTTCTTTTCCCTCCCTTTCTCACTCCTCCACCTCTCATTTCTAACCCACTCTGGAGGTGTCAGGTTTCTACAGCTGGTTCACATTAGCGCCCCCATCTCACGCACACCCCTCCCTCCCTCCCTCTCTCTCTATGCACCCCTTCTCTCCTTCGTCCTCTCTCCCGCCTCGTCCTCCTCTACCTCATGCTGACCTCTGCCTGTCCTGGCTGGCCGGCCGTGGGGGTGGGGGGGGGGTGTTTCAATGAGCAGAATTGGGTGGCTTGAATCTCACTCACTCGTGTAATGTCTCCCACGTCTTTCATTTCTAATTCCTTTCTCTCAAGCTCCATACTCTCTGTCTCTCCTCTCATCTTGAATCTCTAATTCCCCTTTTCTTTTGTGCTAAACCTCTCCACCTACCTCTCCACCTTCCTCTCCTCAACTACGATCCCACCACCTCCTCCACCTCCTCCTCCTCCTCCTCCTCCTCCTCCTCCTCCTCCTCCTCAGCAACGCTTAATAACTTCATCATGCTCTCCCCCTGCGGCCATCCCAGAGAAACAGTGTGAGAGTTGTGGGAGAGCATAAGCCAGCTCACATTTCAATCCCTGGATCATTCCCTGGCTTGGCTAGAGCATAGGTGGTCTATTCACTGTACTGTAGTCCTGTGTGTGTGTGTGTGTGTGTGTGTGTGTGTGTGTGTGTGTGTGTGT